GGGGGTGGGGGTTGTATGGGGTCCGGGGGGGTGGGGGCAGGCGGCTGTGGTGGGGAGTGGGGGGGGGGGGGAGAATCTCACAAATTTGTGTCAATTACACTGGGGATGATATTTTTGAGCATAATTCTATTCTATTATTCTAGCCCAGACCAACAGGCATATCTGCTTGAGGTGGGGAAAAAGAGACCATGATGTAATGGGTAATACAATCTAAAGAAGTATCACTTATGCAGATCCCAGGAAGCATATAAAAATGATTTCATATAGAAATGATTCTGAAGAGTGACTTTTAACAGCTTAATAGCAACAGAGTGGGCACTGGAGGCCTCCAGGAAGATTTGAGCAACACTGGAAGTTTCCTCCATGTGGGTGAAAATGGTAAGATCCTGGCAACCTCTGAAGCTGATCTCACCACAAAGGCCAGATGAGGAGTGACCAGTGCCCCCTAGTATGGAGAGGAGGTTCACTGCATACCTGGAAGACACCTGGAGAACTCCCAGAAATGAACAAGCTAAACCTTGAGCGCTTGTTGTTATGGATGAAGATGGAGTCAAAGAGATACTATCAGTTGCATGGTCCTATCTTCAGAGTTCTATCATCTAGATAACATGGTTCATGGGAATAAAGTGCTTGGCATCTTGCCTGGCACATTGGTGATCTGAAAATATTAGTCTTACCCCATCCAGAAAGATGTTGGCTAATGCAAGGATCACTCACCAATTTCTGGTCAGCCTGGTGATCTCTGTTCATCTGTTCTATTAATGCTGTCAGCTCTGAGATCTGCTCTTCAAGGTCACTAATTATATTGGTCCTGTGGGAGAAGTAATTCTTCTATCATCTACAGAACTTACAATTCATTGCAGGCCAGTCAGGCCCCTGGGATGATTAGAACCAGGTCATTTCTGTACTAGCTCCACCATTATGAGGTAGGCATGACAGAATGGAGGGGTGCTCTTGGAGAAGGTTGGTTGCAGTTGAGTGATTGAACCTCAGATCTAGCCTTTTGGGTGACCTGGCCAGAAGGGAGCAGGGTGGTTTGGTACCCTATTGAGTAAAGAGAAATAGGAGTATGTCTGACATTGATTAGGGTTTGACCTTGACTTGATCATGATATTTGAAATGCAGCAGGGTTAAGCTCAGAGGATTAGGAAATGAGAAGGCGGGGAGTAGGATTCATGCGGACAGTGAATCATACACAAGAAATGGGCCAGAAATAGGACTAAGAGAGGAGTTAAGAGAGTGACTTTCAGAATAGATAATTATTTACTGTGTTTGTGGGCCTGAGGCTGCCATGATATGTATAAATTATTCAGTTCTATCCGGTTGAGCCAGAGGAAACAGGGTAGCAAGTAATGCTATGTGCAGTGAAACTGAAGGGAGTTCACTTGGCCAAACACTCCTCTATGTCTAACTGGGCATGAAAGCATGTGAGGTAAGAAAATAAGACAGGATCTGGGGGGAGGGTAACAGGATCTGAGAAAGTCGAACAATACAGAACCCTTGTCTTCTGAACATGAGCTTCGGTATAAGGAATGTGCAGACAGCTTTACCAGGGAATGAGACAAGCATGGGCTATTATGTTTTATTATGCCACAACTGGTGGCAAACTTCTTAGGAGGCCACAAAGTAGCTGTGGGTATTAGTGTGACTGGCAAGTACATGTACATGACCCATTCTCTTCCTGCTGAGGGTTGTGAATGAGCAGAGAAAAGAAGGCAGAGATGGAATAACCCCACTGGATGGGAAGACGGGGACTTGGTCTGGCTTCTGGGCCAGGTCAGAGGACTCCGGGCAACTCCAAAGCACAGTTTGACCCTCAACCTGAATCTCTTCTAACCCTACTAATGGTTTGGCTGTGTCCTTTCTACACACTGACAGATGGGTAAGTGATTATGAAGGCATGTATGTTTTCTGTTATTGGTCTTTTAGATGTCTGTCTAGAAAAATAATTCTGACAAAAGACTAAAGTCTGAAGGAAAAGACACTCAGAGTAGAGCTGGTAAGAAGTAAGGATGCCTGAACTCAGGGTAGCGAGGAAGGAAGATAGGAGTGAGAAATTGAGGAGGTAGAATTAACAGGTGTGGGATTATGTATGCTTGGTATGGCATTGGAGGCTAGCGAGAGGGTGGGCTTCAGTGACAGAAGATGACCGACCGTGCTCAATGGAATGGCGCTGGGAACTTTCCACTTTGTATTTCCCGGAGGCATGAATTGAGTGGTATTTTTAGACTATTTATAGTGAAAGAAGAAGTGCATACTTGAGTCTTCCAAAACCTGATTTTACTCCTAATTTACATACTCTAAATCTAGACTCATTCATGAATATTTCACCTGTTTCTCACCCACAGGAACAATCACTCTCCTCAGTATGAATCACACTAATTCCATCTTCATCCCATCCTCTGGATTCACTCATGGATGGGATCAGAACAGAGCAAGATGGGTGTGGAGAGAAGCAGCATTGGGAAACAGGGGGCAGAAGAGAGGTGGCCCAGTGGCCCAGGCAAGGATATCAGAGGCTTGTCCTTGAGGCCAGGTGGGATAGCTGAGAGGAGCTGGATGCTGGTCCTAAGACATTACCTGGACATGTTGAATTTGTCCATCATCTCAGATTCCAACCGCTTTTTCCTACCAAACATTTCATCCCCCAAGGTGACAGAAATCTGTTCCCGATTCCGGGCAAGTTGATAGCCAGGTGACACATTGATCACTTCCTGAGCACCAATGGAGAAGATAAAGTAAAATTATAGACTTAGAGCCCTGAGAGTCCTCCAAGTCTACCATTGTCTTATCATCTGAAACATAGAGTCATGAGATGGGATTCCAGGACCCAAGTACCTTCTGCACCCTCCCCCAGTTACCATTCACCCTCAGATCTGTGAGATCCAATCCCAATGCTCAACTGCTCCTCCGCTGCTTTCTCCATGCTGGATGGAGCCATTGTGGAAACTGCTCAGGTTTTGGAATTGAACAGAACTGCCACCAATCTCTAGTTATTTAACATCTCTGTGTCTCAGTTTTCTCATCTGAAAAATGGGGGTAATAATTCTCTCTCAAAGAGCTTTTGTGAGGAAAAGTAAAACAACATAAAGAAATGACTAGCATGGTTGCAAAAAAACAAAACGAAAACGTCAGTTTTTTCTCCTTCCCATACGAGATGCCAAGTCAGATTCCTGGCAGGGCTACCAGCTGGTGTGGACCAGAATGAGATCCTTGCTTCTGGAGCTGCCGAATGACCTTGAGGCCCCTCGTCATTATCTCCTAGAGCATCTCCACCTGGCCCTCTCTTTTACACCCACCTGGATATCACCCAAGGCCGTAGGCATCTTACTCTGGTTTCTAACGACACCCTCCCAGCTGGCCTCTCTGTCTTCAGAATCACTTCCCTAAGTTCATCATCCTCTCCTCCTGGAGAGGCAATTATGTTTTTGTGTGTTTTACTTCCTGGTCATTAAGGAGTGCATGGTTCTTGTGGGGTATGGTGGCGGGAGGGAAGCAAAGCGAAAAATAGCAAAAGGTTCCCATAATATCCTATCAGAGGGCACATTTTCTAAAATGTAATTTTTTTTTAGTTGTAAATGGACACAATACCTTTATTTTATTTGTTTGTTTGTTTGTTTATTTGTTTATTTATTTATTTATTTATTTTGGTGCCAGGGATCAAACCCAGAGCCTCACACATGCTATGCAAGTGCTCTACCACTGAGCCACAACCCCACTCCTAAAACGTAATTCTTACCTGGTTCTGTGCTTGTGTCAGACCCATAAACGCTCCTGTGCAGAGCAGGGATCAGGCCCACACTCCAAGGCAGGTGTCAAGAGCCTTTTGGGTTTGCTCTCCATCTCTTTCCCTAGCATTCACTGCTGGTCCCTTCAGGTGTCCTGACAGCCCCTGCCATGGGATTTGTGGCTTCCTGTGCACCGGCAGAGGCTTCCTGCACCTGGGCATGAGCTACACCCTGGCCTGGACTAGCTGTCACTGTCTGGTTTCCCTGGGACTCTTGTCCTGCATGAGCATAGAGTGGCAAGCAAATGCCTGACAGGCTAAGTCGTGGTTCCGCCATTGACCAGACACATGCTGTGCAATGATAACAGCACCTCCTCTTAGGAGCATGCAAAGATTCAGGAAGACAGCATGCGTAAGAGACCTGGGCCTACTGGGCAACTGCTGGATCAATGTCCTGTGACCCTGTCCCGTTGGTTCTCACATAAGGTGACTTACAACCCTCCTCTTGCCTTCCTACGTTGGTTTTCACTCTGCAAGAGAAAGAAGTGCTCAGAAAACATCGAGGGCAAAGGCAAGCCCAAAGTTTAGGAGCTGCATCTGATACATCATCATCTGACCCTTCTTCTTGGAGCTCTGGTCATCTGAATTTTAGGGGACTCCCAGGGTGGCTGGGTTTTATGGTTTAGATGTGGTGTTCTCCAAAAGTTCATGTGTGAGACAATGCAAGGAGGTTTGGAGAAGAAAGGATTGGGTCATAGCCTTCACCTAATCAGTGAACTAATTTCTGATGGGATTAACTGAGTGGTATCTGGAAGCAGGTGGGGTGTGGCTGGAGGAGGTGGTTCATTGGGGGCGTGGCTATGTATCTGGAGAGTGGAGAGTCTCTCTTTGCTTCCTGATCACCATATGAGATGCTTCCCTTCACCATACTCTCCACCATGATGTTCAGCCTCACCTAGACCCCCGAGGAATGGAGCAAGCCTTCTATGGACTAAGACATCGGAAACCATGAGCCCTCAAATAACCTTTTTCTCCTCTACAGTTGTTCTGGTCAGATCCTTTAGTCACAGCAGTGAAGAAGCTGATGAAGACACTGGGGAACCCACTGAGGCACAGCCTCAGGGGGGCTGCAGTCTGAATGAGTCTCATTGGGCTAAAATCAAGGGGTCACCAGAACTGTTTTTTTCTAGAAGCTTCCTGTGTCCCTAGTGGCCTTTTCCTCCAACTTCAAAACTAACAATCACTTCACTCCAACCTGTGCTTCTGTTGTCATATTTCTTTCTCAGACTCTGACATTCTGACTTCCTCTTTCATGTAAAAGGACCTTCCTGATTTCACTGGGCCCAACTGGAAAATTCAAGATAGTCTCTCCAACTCAAGGTCAATTGATTAGCAGCCCTAATTTCATCAGCAACCCTAACTCCTCCTGGCAACTACACAACATACTTATAGTTTCCAGGGATTAGAAGGTGGACATCTCTGGAAGGCAGCCGTGGGGGATGAGCATTGTCTGTTCTACCACATCATCTCCTTCCGGTCCCTGAGCTCATCTCCACCACTTCCCCCTCCACTCATGCCATCCTGACCTCTTTGCTTTCTTGGAAGAGGCCAGACACACAAGCAAGTGCCCACACAGGGCCTCTGTCTTGCTGTTCCATCTGCCAGGAGCACTTGGCCCAGACATCAGTGTGGCTGCAGCCATCCCCTTAACACAGGGACTTGACCTGACCTCCCTGTGGACAACAACGGCACCCTCACACCCCCTACTCCCTTGGCCTGCGTTATTTTTCTCTATAGTGTCGCTACCCCCACTAGACTGGAAAGCTCAAGGGAGGGGACACATTGTGTTCATGGCTGTGTCCCCTGTACCCCAAACAGCCCCTGACAAATAACAGGTGGTCAGTAAACATTTTCCAAGCAAATAAAGAAATGATATACAAAGATTTCTGAAAAGACCTAAAACTAAGTCACACTTCTAAGCTTGTCAAATGTGATTAAAACAGAGAGGCTATCTACAGAGAATCTTTAGGTGCAGGAATGTAATCAGTGAAGGTGAGTCACCACCATAACTACATGGGAGCTCACCAAGTTTCCAGAACTGTGAAAAGCATGGTCCCTTGTAAAGCAGGAAAGAGCTAAGGAGGGCTTCCCTGCTGAGAGCTCACTTGTAGTGACTTCAGGAGTTATGGATACGGAGGACTATAGGATTTGCCCACAGAGCCTGAAGTTTTAAGGGAAATTCCAGTGGATTCTGACAATTCTCTGATGTCCTTGGAAGCAGATTAGTTCAAGTCAGGCAGGTCCGGGCATGTTGGGAATTAATTCATTCACATGCCCCAAACCATTCCTGCCTCCCAGACCCAGAAATACGTACTTTGGGACATCAACAGGTTTTGTTGATGGTTGGGATTGGAGGTAATTCTGTTCTTTTGTAGCCGGTAGAAGAGGAGTTAACCTAAAAGTGAAAAATAAGTAACTCAAAAAGAGAACAACGGAAATTCAAAAACCCGTTTCAATACTCTTCATTAAGTACATACTCACAGGACCCAAAATTGAAATATATGGCTTGACAACTGCTATCTTGAAGATCTGAGGCCTTTAAGACCTCAGACCCAAGGCCCTGGCACTTGTCCATTGTTCTGGGGAGTCCCCAAGTTAGCAGCCCAGCTCATCCCCCAGAGCTCTTGTCCTAGAGGGAGGAGACAGCTGCCACCAAAGATTCTCAGTCGGAAGCTGCATTTTCCCTGTCGCACCAACGCTGAGATGTCCTCATTTAAAACAACACTGAGCCTCAGGCAGGACTGATGAGATCAGCGTGTAGCCTCCGCCAGGCTGGCACAGAAGGCTGTGTGAAGCTAGGCTTTCTGGCCCATTTGGGATTTTGTAGCCAAGCTTACTATTTTTGAAAACTTGTGACAAGAAGAAGGCTGCAAATGAAACCCAAGCCCTCTGCCCCTACCCCATCCCAGTTAATCCTTACTTGGACTTCCTGGTAGGGGCCTTGTTTGGTGGCTGAAGGGTCTTGATTAGCTTCCGTGGTCCCAAGTTCCAGGGGTCCCAGCAGGTACAGTAGATGAGAGGGTTGTGGTACATGTCCCCAGGTCAGGAGCAGCCTTGGCTGCTAGATCTTTTAGAAGGTTTTTGCTGAAATGAGAAAACAACAGCGGAAAGTTACATCACCTAGAATCAAAGCAAAACTAGGGACAAACTGGGAAGGACCCAAAGAATAATGGTAGATGACTTCAGAAGCTGCTGATCTGGTGTCAGGTCTTGAGGATAGAATAACACCTCCCTTCTTGCTACCCAATAGACTTGACTTGAAAGCAATTTAAAATTTTCCAGAACTGAGTTCTTACTGTGATGCAAGTACACAATAAGTATTCAATTTTGCTATCTCAGGTTTACAGATGAGGATATTCAGAGAGGTCAGAGAGATAGCAAGTTGCAGAGTTGGGAACAAACAGAAGTCTCCCTGATTCCTAAGCTCCTGCTCGTCCCTCAGGCCACTCTGGCTCTCATTGAGGTGGGGAGAAATTCGCACAGCAGGACCTGCATAGAATTTTCTGGAAAATTAGCTGTCAATCAAGCTACTATGCAATCTCACCTGGTCACCTGCCTGAATTAGAGTGAAAACTCCACTTCCTGTCTCCATAAAGACAAACTCCCTTTCATGAAGGGCTGCATTCAAGACAACTCTCAGATAAGCATAAAGCCTTAACCACTCTTATTTTCATTATTTTGCAGAACCCTGCTCAAATAATTAAGAATTAAGAGAGTTTTAATTCTGTGAGCACAAGAATATGGGAAAGGAGACAAAATTGCAAAAGGGATCAGCAACATGTTTGGTTAAAAAATATTGTATAAGAAAGTAAACATAATCGTAGCAAGGTACACATTCATATGTATGAATGTAGACACTTAATATTAAAAAGTGAATTTTGATTTCACTGGAAGAATGGGGGAGGGAAATAGAAGGAGAATGTGTAGCAGCTAAATCCTTGTTTACTATACCAGGAATTAATAGAGAAGGTGGAAAATTGAAAAATTAACAAAGTGGGCTGAGAGTGTGACTCAGTGGCAGAGCCCTGGCCCAGCATGCATGAGGCTCTGAGTTCCATCCCCAGCATCACAACAGCACCAGCACCAAAAAGGCAAAATTATTTGGAAGCATGAGGTTAAATTCCAAAAGAAATAGCTAAAAGAGTCGAAAATAATTGCCTCTCAGGAGCATTCTGAGGAATACAACTGGCAGGGGTTAAGGGTGAGACAGAGACTGGGACTTTTCCTCAATGTGTTTTTAACATTATTTGATTTTTAAGTGACATCAGCAGATTATTTCATTAAAAACGAAACAAATACCAAAATGTTATGAAAACCGATAACCCAATAGAACTTTTAAAATGCTGGTAGATTAAAAACTTCAATTTCTAAGACAATGGCTGATTTCAACACTACAATGGAATAAATTTGTGTAAGTTGAAAAATGAAAGAATAAATCTTTTTATTTAACATGACTGGTGCATGAGAAACTCAGGCACTTGGTCTAAGGACTTTTAGAGCTATAGGGGACTTGAAGATTAGGTCTCTTTACAGATGTGGACACTGAGAAACAAAGATGGGAGGGGACCACTCGCCCACTTGTAAATGCTGATTTAACAGCATAAATACTTACAGCCAGTGCTGTGAGCACTCTGTTAAACACTGAGGGATAGGAAGACCTGGGCCTTGTCCTTGGGGAGTCTGCAGTCAGTGGAGAGTCAGCACAGTGATCTGAGCTGGCTGGGTGCAGAAGTGGGACCTGGCCTTGGAAGACAGGCAGTGAGGGCAAGTGGAGGTGGCGGGCCAGGGGCTTAGGACCAGGGGCCTACATGGAGTAGAAGCCAAGGCTAAAATGGAGGCCAGGCCTGAAGATGCATAGCTGCCATGTATAGCTATCCATTCTTCACTGTGCCTGGGGGCCCTGTCAGGAGATATCACATGTCAGTGAAAGTCAAGCAGACAAGGTCAGAGAAGCCGATGTGGTTGAGAACCCTGGTGAGAAGAGGAGGCCACAGGGGCTAGGATGCAGGTGAGAGTTGGGAAGGAAGTTGCTGCAGTGGCAAGAAAGCAGCTTTACTTCTGCTTAGACACAATAAAGAAAGGTGCTGACCCTGAACCTAGGGGGTTTAGCAGGAATCCCCGGGACAGGAAGTGAAAGGCCAAGCAGGCCAGCTCCTAGCAGCTTCCCTCCCTCTTCCATGTTTTGCCTGCTCAACTGGACTTGTAGTTCTTGAAGGCCAGGCCTCCACCGTGGCTTGCTCTGTGCTGCCCACTGAGCCCAGCAATGTGAGTTGTGTTAGATGAATATATTTTACCTGAGTAGTAACTTGGGTCATTGTAACCATAGGCACCAGCTCAACAGGAAGAAAAGAATCCACAGATGGAAATGCCAGAGCGTTATAATCATCATTACAGTATTCTAGATAATATTAAATACTAGGCGTCAAAACCCAGGATGCATAGGTCAATTGTATGTGTGGAGTTTTACATAAATGTTAAACAATTATTTAAAATCTGTGGAGGGCTGGGGATGTGGCTCAAGTGGTAGCGCGCTCGCCTGGCATGTGTGCGGCCTGGGTTCAATCCTCAGCACCACATACAAACAAAGATGTTGTGTCCGCCGGAAACTAAAAAAATAAACTTTAAAAAATTATCTCTCTCTCTCTCTCACACACACACTCTCTCTTTAAAATAAATAAATAAATAAAATAAAATCTGTGGAGAGGTGGGAGTCAGTGGTAGACCACTTGTCTAGCATGTATGATACCCTGGATTCTAGCCCAGCACCACAAAACAAAACAAAAAAAAACCTCAAGACAAAACAAAGTGCCTTTGAGAAAAAGAGAAAATGATACATATGCAATACAATTATGTGAAAGTATGCACCTATCTGAGCAAATGTTAGAAAAAAATATATTAAAAAAATAAAAATTGGCCTAGAATGTCAGTATTAGCACCCCTCTAAACATAAAAGTCTTTACTGAAATTCTGCCTGGACATTGAAATTAGAGGGGCTTGACTTTGCATACAGGCTCCCTGCCTAGGAGTGGGACAGCAAGAAACTTACTATTCTTGAGTCTCAGTTTCCTTATCTACAAAATGGGGACCATGGGAATTCATGCCTCATTCACTGCCACACAATGAGACCATGTTGAGAGAGCTCTTGGCACACTGCCTTGCACACAAGAACCAATGACAGAAGTTAGGAATATCATGAACCCCACAGTGGCATTTTGCATATAGAAACTTTTATTTCTACATTTTTAAGAATATTCTTATTTGCATGTGTGTGTGTGATAGACTTATTGTAAAGAAAGTCATAATGGAGAAGCTTAAGGCAGTGAAAAATATCCCAAATACAAATACCTAGAGATGACCACTGAAAACATTTTGGTTGTTGGGCATGGTGAAGCATGCCTGTAATCCCAGCGGCTAGGATGCTGAGGCAGGAGGATGGTGAGTTCAAAGCCAGCTTCAGCAAAAGTGAGGTGCAAAGCAATTAAGTGAGACCGAGTCTCTAAATAAAATACAAAATAGAGCTGGGGTTGTGGCTCAGTGCTCGAACGCCCCTGAATTCAATCCTTGATACTCCAAAAAAAAAAAGAAAACAAAAAAAATTTTTTGTTAATGCTTTCCAGAATTCTATATAATATTCTATAACTGGAAACAAACTATACTTATATTCTGAATATACTTTTTTTTTACAATACCACAAGCTTCTTTTATGTCAGTAACCATAGATTTATATCAGTATTTTTCAAACCTAAGTTTTTACAATGGAAATTTTTTTTTAATTGTTGATGGATCTTTATTTATTAATTTATTTATATGTGGTGCTGAGAATTGAACCCAGTGCCTCACACATGCTAGGCAAGTGCTCTACCACTGAGCCACAACCACAGCCTGGAAATTTTTTTTTTTTAAGTATGTAGAAGTACAGAAAATATAATGAACTTGCCCATCCCATGGTTTTAATGATTAGCAACTTATGTCTAATCTCATTTATCTATACCCACCCCACTCCTCCAACATCAGATTATTTTACAACTAATTTAAAGCAAATAATTTAAAACATGTCTGAGTCAGGTGCACGTCTGTAATCCTAGTGGTTTGGGAGACTGAAGCAGGAGGATTGCAAGTTCAAGGTCAGCCTCAGCAACTTACTGAGACCCTGTCTCAAAATAAAAAGGACTAGTGTCGTTGCTCAGTGGTAAATTGCCCCTGCGTAAAATCTCCAGTACTGTCCCCCACAAATATTAAAAAAAAAGAGAGATTTGTTTCTATATCATCATGACTATATATTTCTATTCTATGAATATACTGATTTATATTTTTAACTAGTTTTCTATTGATGAATGTTTATTTTCTTTTTTTAACCTCATTATAAACAATGCCTTGGTGTTTATTAATTTGCTATTAAAAAGTAGAGTCCTCTGTTTCTAAACACCCAAACATTTAACAACCTGTAAGACAAAGTTATTGAACAAATGCAATGAACACGGACTGTAGTGCTGTGACATGGTCCTGGAAGAGCCCACGCCCTCCTACCTCAAGCCAATTGCTGAACCACAGGGTGGTCTGTGTTGGGGGGTAGGGGTGGAGTTGAGACAAGCAAGGTGGTAAGGAGGTCATTTGAGGGCCTTGTGCAATAGCCATGATCAGCATGGCAATGTCCAACTGTGCCTCCAACTGAGCATAAGCTTTGACTTCCAGTACCTTCCCAAGGGGGAAGCTCTGTTAACAGTCTTTTTTTTTTTTTTTTTTTTTTTTAAGAAGGGTATCCTTCCAGAAATGCTCTGAATGTGTGTGTGTGTGTGTGTGTGTGTGTGTGTGTCTTTGAATTGTTTACACTATTGCTACACCTGCTCTTTTTATGTAACAAGAGACCTGGTAGGTATTGAGGTAACAGCACAGATGGCTCTCACTTGTAGTGACTTGGTGTTATAATGTTTGTTTCTGAGATAGGAGTGTGTGTGTGTATGGGGCGGGGTGTAAGGATTCTTTTTCCCCTCTTTACCTTTTCCACATTTCTCTCTGATGAATTCCCTGAGGCCCAGAATGCTAAATGTGCCAGTTAGTAATACCATAGTCACCAGTGAGCAAACAGAGCTTTGAGAGAGATCAATAGTTAAACAACCAGCAAAGGGGGAAAAATCACACAAACCATCTTTTCCAAAGAGCTTACCTTGGACTGCTTGAAGATTTGTTTTTCCCAATGGTTCCTTCCAAGGTCAAGAGTCTTAAAAAAACCCCAATGTTATAGTGAAACTATTCCTCAGTCCCTGAAAATCAGAGTTCATTGTAGGTCAAATCCAGAGGCTCCAGAACTCAAGACTTCAGTGCTTATTCCAAGTGGTTGAAATGTCAAAGCAGAAATCCACAGTATGCAGAGGCAGACTTCCAGATAATCCAATCTCAAAGGCTGAAGTAACATGAATGTCAACTTTCCTTCTAGAGACAGTCCTGTTCAATCTCTCACTATTGCAATGGAAGTCAAACTAGAAGAGAAAGTAACCCGCTTCGTTTTGATCCTTTGACTCGTGCCTGACTGGTGAGGTTTGCTCTTAGGAGATGGCTGGTGAAGGTTTGTTTCTTTTATTGCTATGGAAACAGAATGGCAGGATTTCATTGGCTTGGGCACTCTGCTCTTACAGAGAGAAGATTGTAGAAGCAACCAGTTAAATTCTCCAAGACCCAAATCAGTGCTTGGCAGGTTTCCACTTTAGACCTCAGCCATGAGACAAAATAAGCTTAAGATACATTTTTCAGAGCAAATAGAATTAAACAGCATTCCTAGCCTTAACTGGCCTCTGGCCATCATCGGGCAGAATCTGAACTGGATTTTAAATTCCTCTGCCATTTTCTTGCAGAAACCTAGAACTCCAAAGTAGGCACTTTATTCCTTAAATTTAAGTCTTTGAAATCTGTTAATGTACAACGTCCTCTGGGCAGGGATCTTTCAATTACCAATGGTTTCAGATTTTTTTTTCCTAAATAAAACTGCTTTTCTCACCATAGGAAAAAAGTACTTGTTCATTTTTATTTTATTGCAACTTATTATAATTTTATACATTTTAATCATAAAAAATGTCATGAAATAATAATACCTCTATTGTTTACTTTTCTATTTGTTTTCCTTTTCTAGATGAAAGTTGATTCTAATTTACTACATTGATTTCATGATCACCTTCTAGGTCACTACCCAGTTTACAGAGCCTTGTTATAAATGAATCCACCCATTAAACTGCACATTTTTTGTCTCTTGCATGCCAGGTGCTGTGGGTAGGTGTGGAGATGTCCTCATGTGCCTCAGTTTCTGGGTTCAATAGAGCCTAGAGACTAATGGAAAAACAGTAAATTCAATGACAGCTCAGTGAATCTTGTGTTGAGACTCACTGGTGGAGTGTGAATTAATATCAAGTGTTACTCTTCTACTCCAATGAGTCGGGGAACAGTTTTAATCAGAGAAGGGAACTCACTCAATCTGAATATCAGAAAGATCAGTCTGACTGCAACTTAGAGAAAGAGTTGGACGGATCAAAACACATGGCAGGACACCAGGCAGAAGGCTGTGGTAGAGGTATAGATGAGACCCAGGGTGGCCCCAGCTGAAGGGCAGCTGTGGGGATGGTCAGAAGATGACACATTAGGAACTGGAGATTGGCAGGATGTTTGGGCGAGGAAAAGGAGGAGGCATGACTATTCTGAGGTTTCTGGCTACAGTGATTGCATAGATAGTGGTGCCATTTATTGAGATAGGAAAGTCTGGGGGATAAATAGGTTTAGGGGTGAGATTATAAGTGCCAGAGAGAGGTCCAAGTGGTGATGGTACTGTGGTAAGAGCTCTCCCAGAATAAAGGGAAGGTGATGTGGCACAGTCCATGCCTGTGTTGGGCATGCACAGTTCTGCTGCAACTCCATAGTATAGAACACCCAATCAGAATATATGTAACCACATGGGGAGACAAAGGGCCTAACATGAAAAGGGGAAACTAACAGGACACATATGGCAATGCTCCACTGTGCCTGGGGCTCAGCTTTTGGATGTAAATCTACTGGGCCACTGCCGGTGCTAGTAAACACTGATTTCTGGCTGAGACCCTGAGTGTCCCATCTCTCTGTACAAGAATCCTGCACCATTCTTGGGGACTTGTGTCCAGGATTTGGAGATGGTGATTTTCCCTCTCTTGATGCTGGGGTGCAAGTCCTGAGATACTGAGAGAGCTGACCTCACCCCATGCCAGCAATAGATCCGTAGGGGAGTAGCCCTCCTGGCATGTTGGGGCAAGGACCCCAGGAGCACAAAGGAACCTGGTGTGGGGCCCAGGAACCATTGCAGGGAGCACTGCCTGTTGGACAGGTAGGAATTATGGTTCCAGAAGTAAACCTGCCCCTAAGTGACAGAAGGGGAGCCTGATCACCTTCCAGAGTTGCCAGAATAGTCTCAATTATATGAGATGAAACCACAACTCCAAGGTACTAGGCAGAGGGCTGGAGATGTTGTGTGAGTCAGTGAACAAGATGGGCCATGGGAGAGTTCCAGCAGGATCCAGGGCCAGGGCGAATATGGAGTCCTGTTCCATGGGTCCCTGGCTTAGGGTGGCCCTCCTCAGAGTAGTCCTGACACTGGGGTTTATACAGTCCCACCAATGCTAAGAGGTGCCTGAAATACCTCTGTGAGGGGAGTGGCTGGAGATAGACAAAGAGATTGCTCACTCCTTGCCCCTTTCCCTTCTTGTGTATGTGATTGTCTTTTAGGGGAAGGAAGTGGGTGGCAAACAGAATAAATTTACCCATCCTAGAGTATATGGTAAAAATTTTCAAAAAAGGGATGTCCCATAGGAGTTGACTCCTGGAAAACTCTGGACTTTTGTGAAATAGATTGGCCTTCTTTCAGATTAGTTTGGCCTTCTGAGGGCTCACTAGATAAAGAATGAGTTAACAAGGTGTTCGGGATTATTGTAGGAGACCCAGGCCACCCTGACCAATTCCCCTGCATTGACTTATGGCAAGACATGGTCCTCTCTCAGCCGCTTTGGCTGAAGGCTTGTCTGGAAGAGAACTGTAAATTATGATGGCTCAGGGGCTGGGATTGTGACTCAGTGGTAGAGCGCTTGCTTTGCACATGCGAGGGCACTGGGTTCAATCCTCAGCACCACATAAAAATAAAATAAGAGTACTGTGTTCAACTCCAACTAAATATATGATGGCTCAGGTGATGGCTCCCTCAAAATGCTGACTGGAACCCAAGAAGCTCATTCTATCTGGAGAGCCAGAGGAGATTTCCCCACCTTATGCACCATTGTATGCTCTGCTGACACCTGAACTGCATATACCTACTACAGCCCGAATCCCACCAGAGGCTGCTCACACCCCTAAGACCACCTCTGCCATGAGGCCCCCGAAGCACTCCTGACCATAGAACCCCAGGAGTTGCCTGTCTTAACTAGGTATACTCCAGCCAAGAAGTACCAGGAGGACCCTTCTGGCAGACCCCCTCCTAAGAGATGCCCAGGTGCCCTACAGATGCCACTAAGAGAAACCCAGGGGCCCATCTACTACTATCAAGACGGCCAAGCGCAACAGGGACAACACACCTTCATATATCAGCCTTTTACCACTACAGATCTCCTGAACTAGAAAAACCATACTCCCTCCTTCACAGAGAAATCTCAGACTATGATTGATTTTATGCAATTCATCATTTAGACCCACAAGCCCACTTGGACTGGTTGCCACCAGCTACTCCGGACTTTAACTGAAGAACGCTGCTGAATTACCCAAGCCATGTTAAGTAGTTGTAGGAACATGCCCCAGCAGGAACCATAAATATTCAGGTATACTTCCAGAACCAATTCCCTGAGAAAGTTCCCCGAGGAGACTTTAATGATGACGAGGGATTTCAGATGCTTGAGCTTTATCAAGAGGCTCTTTGTTGGGTGGCGTGAAGAAAGGAGGGAAGAAGGCCATGAATATGAACAAGACCTCAGAGGTGTTCCAGGGACTTAAAGAGACCCCGAATTAGTTCTATGAGAGGCTATGGGAAGTGTTCCATTCTTTCAACCTAGAAGCAGTTGAAAATTAGCAAATGGTTAATGCAGTCTTTGTCACTCAGGCCCAGGGACACATCCAGCAAAACTACAGAAGTTAGAGGGCTTTGCTCTACAGCCAGCTACAGGAGGTTGTGACAAAAGTATCTGTCACCTGTGATCAAGACCCCTGATGTAAGGCAGACTGGAAATGGAAGAGGAAGGTAGATCTGCTTGCTGCTGCTCTAGTGGAATGGTTGGGTCACTCCCTGAGAGGGGTCCTGTTGGGTTGAAGCTGAAGCCAGAGAAGGAGCAGGAAAAGAATGACTGCCTCCCCAGAGGTGAGGTAAGGCAGGAACTAGTGTGCTTGCTGCCCTCAAGAAGTTTATTGGAAGAATGAATGTCCTCAACAGTCAGAGGATTATTGCCCAGTCCTCGATGAAGGGAGAGAGGCCGAGTGGTTTAGGATGGTACCAAGAAACACAGCAACCATATGAAGCCCCTGAGGATGATTGTGTTGGATTGGCCACCATGGGAGGCACAAGGAAGACTAGGACAGACCAGGCTCTATTTTCTTAGGCCCCCTGGAGCCTATGGTCCAAACAACCATGGGAGGCTGGCACATGGACTTCGTGGTCAATATGGGGCAGAACAGTCCATGATGACTCAACCTGTAGGCCCCCTCTCACAGACATAAGCCACTACCTGTGGGAGCAACAGGTAGCTGAGTTCATCGCCCCTTCTCATTGCCTCAAGAATGCAATTTAGGTGGCCATGAAGTTGTTCATAAGTTCCTATACCTCCCTGACTTCCCTGGGGAAATGACAGGTGCAAATAACTGTCAATTCTTACATCCAAGCCATCCCAACCCTAGGAAAGCCAGAAATGAAAATCCTGACTCTGATGATCCCTCAATGAGAAGAGTTGTGCTTCTATAGTCTCATAGAAAGGCCACACAGGGACCTGTGCATCCTTTCAAGGTGCCTTGGTTGTGGGCTAAATCCTCTTAGACTGGTCCAAAACATATGCCTAAAAATAATAGAACTAAAAACAGGGGCTGGCCCTGCCTGACCAAAACAATATTTCATTCCTCACAAAGCACAATTTGAAGTCTAGAGACACCTGAGAGACTTCTAAAGTATGTGAAAGGAAAGTGACCACAACACTCGGAGTGACCAAAAGATCTTTATTGCAGCAT